TCTCAATACCTTCTTGAAATTTCATTATACTTGATTTGCTACTAATACTCATAAAGTGGTAAGTTGTTATCTTCATCTTAAAATCATATGGAGTAATTGCAAACCAAAATCAATACTCCATTTCAAAATCATTACATCACTTCTCTTTTTCGTTCATTTTTTTATAGTTGCAACACTTCATTTTTTATATACTCTATTTCCAGTGTAAACAATATAAAATCAGTCATCTGACTCCACTTTATATTAAAATATTTTCAAAGTTTCTTCAATTAGCCATTTTTTTTAAGAAAAATAAAACTTGGGAGAAATTCCATTAGCTTCAAATTTAATTACTACTATCATATAAGCTCAATTTTTTCTCCCACGACTTATGTTTTTGTGTTATACTCTATTCACTTTATTTTTTAGGGTTTGAATTAATTGTTCGAATCAAGTTCGTTATAAAGTATTCCGTTATGGTTTAATCTGATCTTATCCCAGTAATCCCACTGTTACGATTAATCTGAACCGGGTGAACTATCAATTTTGGTATATACCCTAAGGGGTTCTATTTCTATAGTTTTGAAGTCTCCAAGTCATAGAAGAGCCCAAAACCACGTACACCCAAGTTGAAGCAGTGATGACGTGCACTCTATCTTCTCCCCTTATTCAATATACTCAGCTCTCACCATTACCAAACCAAAAACACAACTTTCCTTCATTTCCTCTCAAAATCAAAATCAAAATCAAAATCAAAATCAAAAACCCTAAAACCCCAAAAGATGATTCTTCAATCTACACTCTCACCTTCAACACCCCATTCTCTCTCCTCAAATTTCTCATCATATTCTCTCTCTTTCCCATCTGGGTCTCGCTCCTTTATCTCTTTTCCAAGTGTTAAACCCCTTCATAAATTTTCTGTAAAATGCTCTGTTCCTCAAGTTTATAGTCATGATACTTTGGACTATGAAAAGAGACCAATGCCAAAATGGAACAATATTTATAGGAAGATTGCTTTGATGGATAACCCAGAATTTGGGGTTGCTTCTGTTTTGAATCAGATTGAGAATGAAGGTAAGAGGCTAACTAAATGGGAGCTTTGTAGAATTGTTAGAGAGCTCAGGAAGTTTAAGAGATTTCAGCTTGCTCTTGAGGTATTTTTTTTTTTTTATTAAATTGTGTTTTGATTTGGGGTTTATTTAATTATTTTATGTGGTGAATTTTGTTTGCTTATAGTTGTATTTGAATTATTGGATTGTTGGGGTAAATTTTGATACAGAAATAACTTTTTTTGAGGTTGTTGAATTAATACATTGTGGGCATGTTGTTAAGAGAAATTTGCTAAGATTGAGTAATGTAACAGTTGTATAAACTTATCCTCATTTGCGTGGATGGTAACTAGCTTAGTTGGTAAAGACTCGGTACGTGTGGTCGAATCTCGTCTACACTGCCTTTTGTTTATGGTTCAGAACTTTGAATTTATTAGATTAGGGATATGCTGCTTAGGTTAATTGTTTAATTAATTTTAAAGTCCTGGACTTGTCCTTGAAACATAAGTATAAGGATTTTATTGAGCAATAAAACTACAATAATGTGACTTTTGTACCCTGTGCTTTAGTGTCATTTCATCTGAGCATTTCTTATATATGCTCGTAAAAAAAGCATAGAAATCGCGGAAGTATTACTTTTGGACAGTTTCCTCTTCTCGGAGGACAGGAGGAGGGGTGAGGAATATAAGGCATATCGAAAGTTATGTGTTAATGTGGAAGTTATATAATATAAGGCTTGTCTAAGTGGAAGGGGTATTTGATTGATTCTTCTTACTCCTAGAGCAAGCTCTTTTCATGTGCACTACTTTAGATGTGAAAAGCTGTATTTCTAGCTCCAGAATCAATCAGATTAACTTCCTTCCATATGGCCCGAGATACTTATATGTTGTCAATTGTCGCTTGTAGCTGTTCTATTTTCGATTACTTGGTGCTTTCATGCTCTTCAGCATGTATTTATTGGAAATTTGTAAAAGGGTTTATTCAAATGTTCATTGTATAATTCTTTTTGGTTTCTGTGCTTTTGAACCGTTGTTGGGCTAATTGTAGCTTAATAAATTTTTGACTTGTCCAGGTTTACGAATGGATGAGTAACAGAATAGAGAGGTACAAAATAACCAGCAGCGATACAGCTATCCAACTAGACCTAATAGCCAAAGTTCGTGGAGTTGCAAGTGCCGAAGAATATTTTGCAAGGGTACCTGAGATACTCAAAGACAACCGAATTTTTGGAGCTCTCCTCAATGCCTATGCGGGTGCGAAAGTAAGGAACAAAGCAGAATCCTTGATGGGGCGAATGAGAGATAAAGGTTACCTTAATCACCCTCTTCCCTTTAATGTGATGATGACTTTTTACATGAAAATCAGTGAATATGACCAAGTCGAGAAACTGGTTTCTGAAATGAAGCAGAGAGGCATACCGCTTGATCTGTACTCTTACAATATTTGGGTGTCTGCAAGAGGCTCGTATGGTTCTGCTGAAGGGATGGAACAAGTTTTTGAAGAAATGAAGTTGGAACCAACAATTGTTCCTAATTGGACTACTTACAGCACAGTAGCTGCTGTTTATATCAAGTTGGAAATGCTTGAAAAAGCAGAACAATGCCTTAAAGACCTTGAAACGAGAATCACTGGACGAGACAGGATGCCTTACCATTATCTTATAAGTCTCTATGGTAGTTTGGGAAATAAAGAAGAGGTTTACCGTGTTTGGAACACATATAAATCAACTTTTTCAAATGTCCCAAATTGGGGTTATCATTCTGTGATCTCTTCACTTATCAGGTTGGCTGATATCGAGGGAGCTGAGAAAATTTACGAAGAATGGCTTTCAGTGAAGGCTTCATATGACCCTAAAGTTGCGAATCTTCTCATGGGATGGTATGTTCGGGAAGAACCTTTTGAGAAAGTCAAGAGTTTCTTTGACCACATGGTTGAAGATGGAGGGAAGCCAAATTCAGGCTCGTGGGAGATTCTTGGTGAAGGTCATATCAAAGAGGGAAGGATCTCTGAAGCATTATCTTGCTTCCGGGAAGCGGTGTTAGTTGACAGTCCATCAAATTGGAGGCCTAAACCTCCTAATGTGTCTGCATTTATAGAGCTATGTGAACAAGAAGCTGACCATACCAGCAAAGAGGACTTCATTGAATTATTGAAGCAACTTGGATGTTTACAAGATGAATCGTATAGGTCACTTCTAGTTGGACTCAGTGACATTGATATTGGCATGGACGAAGGGCAGTTTGTCTTTAATTAAGATGCTGAAGAGATGGAGAGCGAAGAACCTGAAATGCTGTTCTCAGTTGCGGAGTAATTACTAATCTGAAATTCAGTTACTTCGTATAGAGATGAACAGTGCATGAGGTGCATTGTTGTGAGAGCTAGTTTTCTAAGCACAGGGAGGTCAGAGTAACACGATTCTTGCAGCTTCTACCATGATGAGATGACATAGGCTATCAGTTTACCTCTCACGACCTCCATTTTCTCGGGGGAATGTTGTTTGAATATGTATCAAAAATTCCAAATGACTGGATTGTGAGTAATTAGGTTGCGTAGTTTTCTAAATTGAGTTGGGCTACAAAGTATGGTTGATGGATTATGTAGTTTACTAGTCATGTATATGAGCTCTTTCATTGCAGAACCTTGAAATATACTGATACTTCAGACTTCCAAAATGAAGGATTAGTTAAATGTGTATCCTTCACAATTTTGAAATTTAGTAAAAGTAATTCTTGTATCAATGATTTTGGCCTTGGATTATCATGTTGGAGTATCGGAATTTATACAAAGTTAGCGTTGAATTATCACAAAAAGGCACGTTTATCAAAGGGCAATTGAAAATAGCCTTTATGTTATTGCAGGATAGTCGAAGAAAGTCTTGCATCCTTTAAATGTAGATGTTGTCAAATAATGTCAATGATTTCTTAACTTGCAAGATTCATGCGACTTTAATACTAGAAGTCTAGAATATGAGATTATGAGAGGCATGATAACAAAATTCTCGCCTTTGGTAAGTTTATCCCTTAGACTCGACTCTTTCCTTTAGACTTTGCCACATCAGTTTTCCACTAAATTTTTTATGACTTTTTGTTATTCGCATGCTTACAAAACTCACACAAGTGTATCTTCACGAATTTCATTTTCCTTTTGTTAATCTTGTACGAAGAATTTAAGACGCTCCAAAAAAAAATAATACAAGTAAAAGAAAGTTTTGAACAGCAACACCTAAAAAGAATAATACAAGTAAAAGAAATTTTCCTTTTGTTAATCTTGGAATCGATTTTGATTAACCGCCCTTGTGGCTCTCTCAACCCAAAAAAAAATTACTCAAACCTTTATCTAGCGTAACACGCCAAAATTTTAACCAAATAACCTAGCGTAAGAGTTGAGGTTTCTCATAACTAGGGCTGAGCAAAATTACCCGAAAAACCGAAAACCCGAAAATTCGAACTGTAACCGAACCGAAAATTAGGGTACCCGTTCCGATAACCATAACGGTTCGGGTACCCAATCCGATAATTTGTTATCGGGTACGGTTATCGGGTATCATTTTAAAATTAACGGTTACCCAATCCGTTCCGATAAGCAATTTTTTCTTTTTTTTCGTATTTAAATCTATTTATTCAAAATCTAAACGATTATTTTACTTCGTAATCACTTCATAATATAAATGATTAGTAATTATTAGTAATTTGATCATGATCATGTAGTGTTATTGCTAATTAGTGTTGAATGATATAATAATAATTATATTATAAAGTCTAAATTTTTATTATTAGATATCATATTGGGTACCCGATAACCGAACCGAAAATCCGGGTACCCGAACTTATTGATTCGGGTAATGGATATCATTTTTAGTGTTATTGGTTATCGGGTACCCGAACCGATAGTGTTAACGGTACGGGTACCCGTCCCATGCTCACCAGTCATAACCGCCTTAAATAAATTTAACCAAATGAAATAAAACCAGATTCTCTAATTCATCTAACCAAACTACCGCAAAAAATTCGGTAGGCTTGTGGACTTGTGGTCTTGTGGTAGACACACAATCTCCATTCTCCATCTTCGAGGCAAGCAAACAAGAAGAAGAAGTCACAAAATGGCAGTAATTCTTGCAAAAGCAGCGGAAAGAGTTGGCCCATCTATCCGCCGCCAAGCCCTGACTTTGACCGACACCGCTGCCACCCGCATACGCCACCTTCTCCAACAACGCCAGCGCCCTTTCCTTCGCCTCGGCGTCAAAGCTCGCGGTTGCAACGGCTTGTCTTACACCCTCAATTATGCTGGTACTCTTTTTTTTTCTCTGTTTTGATTCATGGGTATTTGCAGATTGGCTAGATTTTAGCTTTAATTATCATTTTTAATCTGTTGTGTGAATTGAGCTTTTCAGAATCTTTGATTTACCCAATTCTGTTTTTTTTTTTTTTTTTTTTAATTGGGTTTTAGGATTTATGTTTGATTTTGATGAGACGATGAGAAATGAGCATTTGGGGTTGATTGTTTTGTTAAACCCTATATTGGGTATTGTTAGAGCTGAAGAAGGGGGTGGGGGAGGGGGTAGATTGGGTATGGGGTCAAAGAAACGGGCTTTTCGGGCCAGCTTGGGCTATATTGATTGCGTCTAGATAGCATGATTGTGGAATAAAATTTATAGTATGATGCAAGCTTGAATTAAAATTTTTGTATTGGGTGGTCTGAAGAAGGAGATTCAGGTGCAATGCTAGTTGTGCCATTTATGGTATAAGAAGAAGTGATGTTCTTGTTAAGAAAAGGAGAATCTTGTCTAGTTTGTTTCACTGGGGTGGTGTCTGCTGATTGTTGCTTATGTCTTATAAGCGGGCGTAGGGTCCATTAAGGATGCAAGAGTCCCTCTATATTAACGAGATAGTCCTAATTGACAAGCGTGTACTGCAAGTGGAAGTTCAAATTTAAAAGAGGTTTTGAATTCAATTTGGACGTGAAGTGGCTGGCGATGTTGTTTGTCTGCTTCTTAATCTGTTGAATTGATGAATATGGAGTGTTTACAATGATTGAGGATGCTAACTTATGTTTTCAAGTTCAATTTCCTGGTACATGTACCTAGTGAACATAGGTTCTTCAAGTTTGGAAACAATATGTGCTGGAGAGTAATTACTTTACTGGCTGTTATAAGTTGAGATGTGAAAATTAGATGCACAATCATTTTAGTCTTAATTCTGGGATAATAGTAACGATGTATCGTGTATGCCAAGGTTATCTACTTATCTATGCTACCTAGTGATTGCTGCATAGATGTAAGACTTGCATGATATTACTAAGTCATATGGATCTTGGATAGCCATGATCTTCTAGATGTTAAAACTTAAAAGTGTTGAATTTGTTGGAGAAAGCTTAGAGATAACTGTTGGATTCTGATTTCTGTTTTATGATATTGAGGTTTGGAAGTCTTAATTGGCCTTTAGTTTGTTCTTTTCTTGTGAACCTACAATAAGTAAGAAAATGGTAAACATTTGAGAGTAAGAGTGAACTGATGGTGATTTTGTTCAATGGTGGAACTATTGTTGTTGGAAGTTTGAGCTGTATGGGTTGATATTATGTTTCTTGGATAAAATTTTGTGTATGAAAAGCTGAAATGTGTTAGATAGATGCTTGAAAAATGAGCTTTGTATGTATTAATAGATGAATGTTTGAGAACTGAAGTTTGAGAAGCCGAATGTTTGGAAAAATCCGGTTCATTTCTTCATAATAGCGCTGTATTTACACATGTAGCAACAATATGTTAGTAATCTCCTTGATTAATTTTGAAGTGGTTCGCTTTGATATTGACCCTTGGCAATAGTGCTAGTACCATGATTTGTTGAGTATAGGGAACTTTTGAAATGAAATTTGGCTGGAGTATTAGTGTAACACCAGTATAGATGAGGCTTTGCACTGAGAAAATTTTCAGTTTGAAGTTAGGAAAATACTATATAGATGATATTTTCGAGGCTTCTTATGTTCCTGGTAAAACCATAGAAATGAATAGGTGTAAAAAGGAGTTTTTGAATGGTTTAGGAAGGGAGTAAGAAATTGAAGATAATTTAAAGGAAGATTTAATATCAGGTGCAGGAGCCAATTTTATGGTTATGACCTTCACAGAAGCAGGGTTCTCAGACATCTAATTTTGTTTTGGGGATATATAGCATTGTTACCCAGTGATATCAAACTTGCCATATATGACCCACTAATCGGTCATATAAAGGCCCATAGACCCATGGTGGCCTTGATTTAATGAAGGGAGCGTAAGTTACAAACTCCTATATTGCAATTTCAAAGGCAAAGCTCACAGTTCCAGCCACTCAAATGGGCTCCAGGAGTGTTGTGGGGTCCATAGGACGCACCCTGACTTGTTTCATCTCTGGGCCGAAAAAGTCGAAAATTGTCCAAAACTCAAGCCTATAATCCACGCTTTCAAGACAATTTCGGAAACTTTTTGCAAAATTAAAGTGAATGCTTGGGGTGTTTCCCGGGGTCATATAAGTTAGTTTGAAACCATAACAAGCCTACTAATAGGTGTGTAAAGTCATGAGAATGAGTTTGGTCTAGCTATGTGGCTATTTTGGAATTATGTTGCATTGGTAGTGGAGAGCTGCAAGAGATAATTTGAAACTTATTTTGTGAATTAAGACTGGATAGATGGTGGCAAAGTAGCTTTTGCAATTGCTATAGGCCCTAATTGAAGGCTACATGTGGCTGTAATATCAATTAATGTAAAAGCATTCTGAACAAATGCAAGCTCATATGGGTATCCCTGTTAGTTTATTAAGAATAAAACTACTCTCCTGAACCTCCCTATCCTTTATGTTTCTTTACTTTGGAATTTGTGAATTTACAATGTTGTGAATTACAAACTTTGAATTGGACAAACTTCTCTTGTAGTTACCGTACAAGGAGGACGAGTGTCCATAACTCCATATGATGTCTAACTATAAATGTTTATCAGATGTTCCCTTGTCAACAAATGCAGAAGGCTTGGTCACTGTTCCTAAGACTTCTAGTAGATTTTTATTGTTTTTAGTAATAAATAGTTGTAAAAGAAAGATTTATTTCGTAACCTAGAATTCTTTAAACTATAAGTTATCCTAATTGCACTTTTTTTTTCCCTTTCACTTAAAAAAGTTATTTAGATTTTTTTTTTTTTTTTCTTTCTATGTTTGGTTCAAGTGCAGAATTTATTCAGAACTCTTTTATGTTAGGCTCTTATAAAATTAAGGTAAGTAATTCATAACATCATCTCAGACCCCCTCCTCTACTCGCAACTCCATAACGACTATTGTCATCCTCCTCCTCATCAGCACCACCACCGTCCAATTGTAAATATGGTACTTTGTTGGTCAAATTCAACCATTCTGAATTTTTCATACTTTATTTTAACCATCGTGTAGTCCAAAGTCACAATGGAATCATCAATTTGTTTCTATTGGACCAACAAGTTTTTCCTTGTTATTGAACCCGTATGTTTATGAACGGGCATGTGCTATTCCTTTTGTCGTTATGACATTTGCTCCAATTTTCTTATTTTCTTTTAAGTGCATCCCAATTTATTTGCTCTTTACCTTTTCCTCCAATAGTCAGTCCTCTCATCCACCCACTTTTCTCTTTTCTCTACTTTTCAGTCTCTTTGTTAGTCATGCCATTTGGGTATTAGAACAAATTAAGTGAAACAAAGGGAGTGCATTGTAACTTCATGTTAAGCTCTTAATTAGATGTATGTACTTAGCTGGACTGCTGGAGCATATTAGTTGCCCCTTGATGTATACTTAGATGTAAGCTATGTGTCCATCATTTGTCATTACTTAGATGTAAGCTATGTGTCCATCATTTGGTCACATTTTGTCATATTGGCTTCTTCTTTATAGTACCTAATGATTTCTAAGACTTATATGAACCTTTTCTTAAGATTGAAAGTAGAATCCTCGTGTGTGTGTGTGTGCTATAATCTGACTGAAACTTAATTAGTCTCTGCAATTTAGTTAAATGATGCACAACATAACTGTCAGATGTTTGTTAGAGGATAAAGTTCTTTCTATAAGAATTCTATAAGAAATAGCTAGCTGAACACATCTTGTTGCTGACTACTGTTAATATCACCTAGCTTGAAACTGCGTAAAGAATGTAACTAAGACAATTGTTATTGAATTTGGATATGTGGTTCGCGTTAAGGATTATTGATTTTTATGCATTTATGTTCAGATGAGAAGGGGAAGTTTGATGAGCTAATAGAGGACAAGGGAGTCAAGATCCTTATTGAACCCAAGGCCCTTATGCATGTCATAGGCACGAAAATGGATTTTGTCGATGACAAGCTCAGGTGTGTATATTTAAAGTATCAGTCAACGGACTGAGCTGCAACTTATTTCTATACATGGTTTGTATGTTGTGGCTGGATGCATAACTTCGACACTTTCTGTTTAATATTTGCTCCAATACAATAAATTAACTGGCACCACTCTGCCTGGTTGATGGGAGTGAGCAGAAATCTGATTTCTAATATTTGATACACCTCTTCTTAGTTTTAGTGTCATTGTTGGTGCTATGTTTTTGCTGTTAGTTTCTGTTATGTGACCGTTAAATATTATTTATATTTATGAATCTATCTACTGTGATCCAATTTTAAGCAAAAGTTTGTCCTGTACTTGCACAAATATGCTTTCCTCTATTACCTTAATATAGAAGATGAAATTATATTGTACGAAGTAATTTTTTAGAACAAAAGTCTCTATAATACTTAGGACTAGAAGGGTAAGACTGCATCCCTTTAGACCTCTCCAAATCTTGCTTCAGATGATTCATTTTGGATGCTGATGTATTATATACATTTCATCTCTATCTACGAACTGCGGGGTAGGGGATGGATGAAGGGGGTGAAGGTGGCTGTTTCACTAAGATCTTGATAGGTTAAAATCTTGGCTAGGTGTAGTGGTGTAAAGACTCATGTAAGTCATGTTCCAACTTCAAGTTTCAATAGCATGCGTCAGATCTTGTATGCATTTCTCCTGCTTGGTTTATACTTTAAAGTGGGTAGTCATGGTATATGAAATTTTCGCATGAGCTGTCTTGAGGAAGCTTCTATCTGATTTACTGCAATTATCAGTATTCAGTGGTATTTCCAAAAATGTTACATGGCACATGCAGTAGATAGTATAAAACAATAATCTTCGTTTTTTGTTTAATAAATATTCTTTCTTAATTTGTCAAGGATTTGTAGGCGTTTTAGCACTATCAATACTGGTTTTTAAGATAATGGGTATGCAGGCATTTTGTCAAGGATTTGTAGGCGTTTTAGCACTATCAATTTAGACTTATTAGTAACTTTAATTTCTTGTTAAACCTTGTTAAATTTAAATTAGTTACTTTTGCCCTCCTATGCATTCTGTCGCACTTTGTGTTACAGCTTTGTTTCTGATTCCTTTTTACATTAACATTGCAGGTCAGAGTTTATTTTCATAAATCCAAATTCTAAAGGGCAATGTGGATGTGGAGAATCATTCATGACAACTAGCACTTCAGATGCTGCTAAACAAGGCCGCGGCTAGACAATTAATGATTGACTGCTTTTTTAAGTAATCTGCTTAACTGTTACTCGAAATGAGATTCCTTTTTTGATGTTCGGCTGTTTGTGGTAGCCTAAAAAAAGAATCTGACAGCAACAGGAAGAAGAAATTGTCATTCTTTTTAGTATATTCACAAAGTAATGTGTGTACATTCTTCTGGTGATTTTGTGAAGCTCAGCTGGTTGGTTGTATATACAGAATAATAAAAACCTGTTGTACATGTATTTTTGTGATCAGCTTATTTGATGATCCTGCTTAGTTTATTGGAGGAGTGGATTTCTCATTACCTTTTTTTAACTTTAACAGCGCCCCTTCCTCCTTCCTGACTATTGTACTAGTAATCCGACAGCTAAATCCGTACAACAGATATGTTCATGTTCTTCTAATCAAGTACGCTTGTTTCTAGGAAGAGATGAATAAGATACAAGTGCGATTATAGCAGAATCGAATTCTTCTGTGAGAACTTTACGAGCTGAGGTTATATATGGAAGATTATTATCCAGAAATATTGGTTTGTTTACTTAAGTTTACTCATTATTATATTACATGTAATTCTTTGTTTTAATACAAGTGTTTCTATTTTTTCAATGCCATGAATTAATAATAAAATAAATACAGAATGGTTAAAAGAGATTTCCTTTGTTTAACAAGTGACTGTTGGGAATTATTATAACAATGTGTTTAATAATGTAAATAGAAATACAGAGTGGTCTGTTTACAGTTAATTACCAGTTAATTGTTGGGTGGCTGTTTTTGAAGGTGTTTGATTGATGCCGCAATGTCTGCATATTTTGTGTATCTTTCACTCCTTGTCACTTTAACTTTGAAAGATCACATGACTTTGTGTCTAGTGTCTATTTGATTTTCTCTCATTTCTTTTACTTTCCGGCCGCAATTATATGTACGTAGTATATTTTTTCCTTATCTTATTTTTGACATTAAAGTTGCCCGAAAACTAAAACTTCTAAATTGACTAATCATGAAAGGTTTTGATAATATGTTAAAATTAAATGTCGAATTTTTATAGTATGAAATTCGGATCTACCTCAATCCACTACTTCCCTCAATCCTCCCCTCCCTTGGGGCTTCCCTTCCCTTGTAGAGTCTAATACTAACCTAAAAATTATTTTTTGGGACAATTATCCACAATTTTAGAAGAGTTCAACAAAGTTATTAAATCACACACAATCAAACGTCGACATCATTTATTTTATATATAAAAAATAGTGTGTATATTGTAAAAGGAACATTCATACATACGAGTAGTATTTTATTTAATCCGAGCCTATAAAATGTCAAGACCGACAACCCCTCCCAAGAAACAGGGAAATAAATGGTCATTATAATTAACAAAATAGGCCTAATTTACCACAATTTCAAAGTTCTAAAATTGGCTAAGGTAAACAATTTCTGTCGGTTTGAACATGTTAGGAATATAGGAAAATATATTATTGTGATATATTTTTCATATAGATCTTATGATATTATATTTAGGATAATAATATATCTTAGTGATATTCTAAGATAGATTTATGGAAGTTTATATGATAGAGTTTATATTGTGTAGGTTATCTTTTCTGGGCTATAAATATTAGCCAAGATCATCAATACAAGCTAACTCATTCTCTCATAAATAATTTATCATGGTATCAAGAGCAAGTTAAATCTTGAGACCGTTCACACAAATACTCCCCTTGCCGGTGGGTTAGAATATTAAACCCACCGGTGGGATTCATAAATTTGCTTCCGCTATGCAATAGTATTGCTCTTTGAAATTTCTATTTTTTGATTTAATCTTTTTTTTTTATGGAATATCCATGTGATACATGGGTTATTATTGGTGTATGTGATCAATATGAATGATCATATGTGATTTAGTTAGGTTGCAGTGTTGGAGTGTGCTTCCTCCATTATTGCATCTCCATGAAGATGAAGAAAAGCCACGTTTTGGCGTATTGTTTATTATTTTAAAAAAAAAATTGCAAAAGATCACGGACACCAGCGAAGGGCCTGACAAAGAAGATTACGGACACCAGCAAAGGGCCGTGGCAAATAAGATTACGGACACCAGCAAAGGGCCGTGGCAAAGAAGACCACGGACACCAGCAAAGGGCCGTGACAAAAGACCACGGACACCAGCAAAGGGCCGTGACAGAAGACCATGGACACCAGCAAAGGGCCGTGGTAGCAAAAGTTTGTTTTTTTTTAAATAAAAAAAAATTGAACGCGACATCAATAGAGAGGTGTTATATCTTAGTGATATTCTAAGATAGATTTATGAAAGTTTATATGATAGAGTTTATATTGTGTAGGTTATCTTTTCTGGGCTATAAATATTAGCCAAGATCATCAATACAAGCTAACTCATTTTCTCATAAATAATTTATCAGAACAACATTTTAGTTAAAAAATTCTTGTTTAAGTAGAAAACATGCAGCACTACATGTTGAGCACGTTGTAAGGCTGCTTTCCTGAGTGGCTAAATGGTAGTACAAGTAACATCAATAAATTCATTTCATTTTTATTAATTACATAGTGATAAACATATATAATGCATGGTTTCGTCTGTTTACAGTTAGCATCCAGTTGGTTTTGGGCGGCTCTTTGATTTCATGCTACTTGTTGGTGCATTGTATTTATGCACATAACACATACACTAGTCCAGATTCGTTTTAACTTTGGATTTTAAAGGAGCATATACTAATTACCAACTTTTATTATGTTCAATCATATTTCTCTAACTCTTCTCCCTCCCCGACCCGGCCCCAACCAATCCGGTACCCATTATAGTTTAATACGGTTTTCTTCTGATTATTTTATATGTATAACCGGTTGTACCATGTACCATGCACAAGACACAAACAAGGCTTCACCGTAGTATTTACCCTGTCCATGTATGGTACAATCCAAAACTATTTCTTTGACATATAATAACATATATACGCCAAAACTAACTATTGTCATATATAACTTTGTATAGTTCGTTTTAAATTATTTTTTCAACAAAGAAAGTATGTTATATGTTATGTTTTCAACCCAAAAAGAAAAAAAACAAAATATAGAGTTATTTACTAGCTAGTTACTACTTGTGTTTTCCTTTTATAACTAATCCCATTTTGCCTCTAATTTAATTCGTACAACATAATTTGAAAATACATCCCAAAAAACCTAACGTGGAGTATTGGGAATGGTAGATACCCCTTCAAATATTCTCTCTAAGAAAAAAAAAAAAAAAAAAAGAAAAAAAAAAGATCCTTTTTTTTTTTTTTTTTTTTTTTGAAGTACCTAGATTGTGTACGTGATGGGTCACGTTTAATAGGATTTTCAACAACAATATGACCACTTCACCATTAATTTATATTGTGTATAAATTAATGTATTTCCATAACATGTGGCTAGATTTGTTTTGGTCTCAATCAACATATATTATATTTAAATTATTAATTTAAACATTATGTCAATGTTATTTGATCTTCAAAATAATGAGGATGTTTATGAAATTTCACCAAACATGAAAACAATTCGAAATGTGAGAGAGACGTTTTGTTTTTTGGTAACAAAGCATGGAGGCCTCACATTACGTTATGGAGGGCCGGAGCATAAATTTACAAACAAAAAAAAAACATATAATTAGTCAAATTAATTCAAATAATTTCGATTTATATTCATTTTTCTTATATTAGCCAATCAATTTGGTTAGCTACTTAATTATAATTTTAATTGAGTTGGTAGAAGTATATCTCCTTGGATTTATGAGAATTAAAATATGTGTGTTGTGGACTTGCATTGTGAGAGTTGTTTGATTGAAAAATAGTGATTCCAAAACTTAAATATCATCCTTTATAAATAATCATTTAATGAAAGAAATTTTAATATATTGGTAAGTAATTATCATAATTTTAGTAGGGTTACCAACCTTTTAGGTCAATTGTGTATGATGAAGTAGTCGTGTTTTATCAATCATTTGGTTACCACTTGGTTAGAAGCTTACGTATAGATGATGCTTGATTGATTTTTTTTAGGTTTTTTCAAGCCATTTGAATTGAGTTTCTTCTCCATCATTTTAATTAGTTTGATAATGTTTTTACTCAACTTTAAGCAAAATAACTATTCACTTTATATTTGCTAGAGTTTTTTTTACTACATATGATTACTAATTTAAGTAATCGGTGCATTTAATATCAGGTAAGCGTGCATTGTGAAAATGACATTATATTGTAGGCTTCAATTGTTTGATTATTGAAACTTCAGCAATTGATTTAATTTAAATCAATTACGTAATCAAGTATCATACTTGTACCTACTTTATAAAAAGTCTACTCAGGCAATTTAAAAGTGCATTAACTATCTATAAATATTTACGTGTCTATATAGTATATATATTATATACATATTATTGCAATTAGTTCTCACTAAGCTAGAGTATCTTAAATATACAGACAAAAACTATATTTATCTTACATACTTTATCATAAGTACTTACAATATGATCTTTGTCATTGATCCGTTCATGTGATTTTCGGAGTATACCATATTATTGAGTATATAGAATTCATTTTTCATTTTCAAAAAAAAAAAAAAAAAAAAAAAAAGAAAAAAAAAAGCCTTTTTTAGAAATATCAATTGATTTTCTTGTCGAAAGAGATATTTTCTACCAAAAAGAAGGCACCCTTGGTTGCGAGACATGTCATCCTCAAATGTTTTTGATGTTCCCACCAATCACCAATGTATGTACATATACGTGCCGCCAACTTGGTCTTTGCTTTTGACCTCTATTACTTTCCATTTTGCTACAACTCTCCAAACTAATACACTCATTTGAATTTTGTGACCCTTGCAAATAATAGACAATTCAAATATTTGATTTTTTTTTTTCAAAAAAAAAAAACATAAAATACTATAACTAGCTATGAAGCTTTTTGGTTTCTTTTTAATTAAAAAAAAAAATGAATGTCTTAGTAATGAACGAGAATTTGATGTCAATTTTCTTATTATTATTTGTGTTTAGTGTTTCGAAAAGAATTTTGTTCCAACTTAGGAAAGTGGATTAGAACAATAATTGGAATTAGTATAGACGTATAGTCCTCAAGTTCAATATAAGAGTGAGTTGTTTTCCCTTTGTGTTGAAAATTAACTTCATCTTTGAATTGCAAATGATGTGAAGATATACCTAATTTGATGTGTTGGAGTGATTATCTATAATGTATAGTTATTGTATACGTATTACATGTCTCGTTGCACTAATTAATAACCACTATTCTTGTATAGTTACTGATGTAAGGATAACCCTAATAATCATCGTGCTCATATTGATATAACCAACTCTTGAGTCCATGTAATTTGGCCCTTTTGTTTTTTTTTTTTCCAAGATAGGGGTCATATAAATATATCGATAATTTAGTACTATATCGAAAAAAAAA